TATATATATATATATATATATATATATATATATATATATATATATATATATATATATATATATATATATGTTTATTAAGTCTTCCTGAGTCGATAGCCTAACCAATGAAAACTAATAAATACAGGCTTTTAAATGACTCTTACCTCCCTGTGCCACGTTTCCCCACCCTGTGACCCAGCTAGGGGTTCCATTATTGAACTGGCTGCCACTTGCTGCCAAACACACCGGCCTGATGTTTTTAGTGAACTTCACTGGAGAAGAGAGTCTAAGCAATGCAATGTCATTGTCATTGGTACTCCTCTTATATTTTGGGTGCACAATGATGCTACTAACTCCAACAGATACTTGGGTATTTGTGTTCCCACCCTGCAGCTGCTGCAGACCAAGAGAAACCTGCAGCCTGGATGGATTTGTACTGAAGCAGAAAAAGACAGAAGAAGTTGGTTTTAGGACAACAAACATTTTCTTCAGCAGCTATTCTTTAAACTTATGATTTCATTTACTTTTTCCTCTCACTTGGCTTTGTCTCTTATTATGTTTTTCAAGGTAACTTGAGATAGCTATGTAGATTTTGATTACATATAAAAGATCGTGAATTTACTGTAAAAGGCAGCATAGTTTCAAACCCAATATCTCAGGAATGTTAGCAATTCTATTGTAAATAATTTACAATCTAATGTTTGCTCTTTAATACAAATATTGGCCAAATCCTGGCTTTGGATCACTTCACAACAAGCTCATTCTTTACTCACTGATCGACGCAGTGAGCAGCCGTCAGCACCCAGTTTCTGCTGATGAGGGAGCCTCCACATGAATGCATACCATATTTCTGCAGGCTCACCTGCCATGGCCAACTTCCAGGTGAGGCATTTTGACCTCCAACTATTTTGGGGTTTTGAGGAGCGATGCCGCACTCTGAATGAAAAAAGGAATCAATTCATCTTATCTATAAAGATCTTAAAAGAAAATGTGAGATCGAATCGTCTACGTACCATTGGGCTGTGCATGTGATTCTGGGAAATACAAAAATAAAGCATTTTATAATTATATAGTTGATCAGTAATAATATGCAAATGAGTTACACAAATGTTTGCAAGCAACACCTATATTAACAATAAACATTTATAAAATTTATTTTCATGATTAATTAGGTTGTTAAATAAGAGATTAGAAGTATGCACAAAAAAGAAACAGCTAATAGTTAAAACCGATATTTAACATAAAAGTTTTTTTTTTTTTACAAAAACTCACCTAAATTTTTAATTAATACTACAAGCCAGTGATCCTTTTAAATGACAGTTTTAAAACTACTTCCAAAAACACTTTTTTCTTAATGCAATGATATGAATCTGATAAAAGTTTAACTAGCATTTTCCCCCATTTCTGGATGATAGAACACAAAAGAATGATTTACCTGCATAGAGAAGGCTCACCAAAGCCAAAATGTGCAGCAGCTTTCCAGCCATTGTGAGTTTGAGTGCAAAATCCATCTGTGCTGCCGTTTATATACAAAGTGTAATCAGTTACCTGTTCCTGTATTCCTCCCAAATGACATCATGACTAAGAGGGTGGCGTGTGTTTTCTTTTGATTGACATCTACATTACATATCCATTTCCATATAAGAATACTCCCATTCAATTATTAACATGATTCATCAAAAAAAAAAAACCACATCATGATAATGCCAGTTATTGTGAGTTTTTTTATTGTGTTTTGTGATGCAAACACTTCCACTTAAGTCTAAAAAAAGGATGTGAAATCATCCCGACAATAAATACTAATTGTTTTCTATTGTTACCAGCATTTAAATCCATGAATTAATCATTTCAAATTTATGTTGTTCTCCTCCTACAGAATCTACAGTAAATCAAAGCTAATAGCCAGTGTTTTATGTAGATTTAATCAAACCTTTAAACATATTTTACCACCTGCAGAACAAGATGTTTATTTTTCATTGTACGTAGATATTTTTATATTTAAATTTTTAATCACTGCAAAATCCTTAAACTTCCACACATGACTTTGAAGACAGAGATAAGACAAAAGGCCAGGGTGGTTTTCATTACATCTATTTTACATATTTGTTTTGTTGATTTTTTTTTTCCTTTTTTCATGTATTAAAAAAAAATATCCATCAAAGAATTTTTTTGCATATGAAAGCAGCAAAATGTTAGAGCTGTGTCTGAAAGCCATTACACAACTTTCAGAAAAATCTGGGGGGAAAAACACTTGGAAATGATTTTTAAAGATGACTAGAGCAGAAGAAAAGTCCACATTTCATCGTCCAAATGTACTGCTTTACTATAAAAATATAGCCGTCATTTTCCCCTAAATTAGGTTTGGGTTATTTTCTTGTTTAGAATTGCATGTTTTTTTTTTTACTTTCTCAGGAGCTTATGCACTAATTCTACCAAAGCTTCAAATCAGATTATAACTGTCCTGCTATATACTTTACTGATGTAATTAATTTTTTGACAACTTGTAATTTCTGCTCCTTAAATTTTTTATTCATAATTATCTCTACTTTCCAATCCTTACATTACAAAAATAGACTCATTAGTTTTGTTTCATTTAAGCTCATTGTCATTATGGCCCTTTAGTATCTAAAAAAATTAAATCCATTCAAATAATATATTTCATCCAGACAATTAATTTATTTGTGGTTGGAGTCAGTACTACACCAAAATAAATATTTGAACTTTATTGATCTCACATTGGAGAAATTTACCTCTGCATTTAATCCATCCCCTTTGGGAGCAGTGGGCTGCCATTGTGTGGCACCTGGGGAGCGAGCAGGGTTAAGGGTTTTACTCAGGAACCCAGAGGGAACTGGGTACTTGCAACCTTCTCAGAGCACAAGCACACTGCTCTAACCCACTAGGCCCTCTGTTCAATAGTTGTTCATGATGATGCAAAGTTACATTTGACAGTCTTACCATTAGTTATAAAAAAGTTTTCCTCCAGAATTGTAGAGAAGGTTCCTTTAATACAGTTGTGCAGTAAGCAGTATAAGGTTTAAAGCATCTGTCCGTAACTTTTTTTTTTGGTGCATTACTTTTACTTTTACTAATTTATGTAGTTATAAAAATTACACTTTTTCTTGAGTAAAAATTTTAAGTTAATACTTTTTAACAATAGTGTTATTAAACCGTAGGAATAATACTTCAACTTGAGTAATAAACAATACTTTGGATCATGAGGTAGATCAAAGTGGCTACACTGCACTTAGTAATCTTAGCAGTGATAAATGTGACAGAGCAGTTAGGGTTAGGGAATGTAGGGAATGTCCTAACCAAAATCATTTTGACCATCCTTATTTGGTCAAGCTACTCTAACTGGCAAAAACCTCTAGCCCAAACATGTCAAGGCAGCACAGATGTTTCAAAATGTAGGCCAAACCCCACAAATAGCCACTTCTGTGCCATATTACTCAATATGAACATTATGTCAATCTGTTATGCCATCAATTCAAATTCAGTCGTCATACAGCATGTGTTGAAATAACGTTGTTTGTTTGGTATTAAATAAGGCTAAAAAAAAAAAAATAGCTCAGTATCCGTAAATGATACATTCTGAATGGTTTAATCGCATGATCGGTTCTCCGTTAAACACATCCACCCTTCCTGTAAACCCTAACGGGAAACTTCCATCTTTATTCTTTGGTTCTAAGAATCCTAGTTATCGGTGTCATATCAAAAGCAGCATGAGTTAATGACTAACCAGGATGATGTGATGCATAACATTGATTCTCACTTCCTGGAGTTACTATGGGGTCATTGAAATCATGACTTGTCACAATATTTTTAGCTACACAGGGATTTTTCAGGTCTTAAAAAATCCTCAAAAGGTCTCAAAATAGCTAAAACCAAATTTCTTACCAGAAACAAATCCAAGTTTGGCTTTCCTGGATGAGACAAAAAACAGATTTTATATCTACGTATTTACAAAAAACAGCAACAACAAAAACAGCCGAAATTATTAGTTTAGTTTATTCAGTCTCAGAATAACAGGCTCGTTCATCCTGTCCCGTTTCAGAACAGAGGACCCAGTAATCGAGGCAGGACGGACAGTGGGATAATTCAAAAGTGTTTTTAAAAAAAATTTATTATTTGATCAGAGTAGCAGCAGCTAGGGAGTCTATCACAGGAAACATTGTAAAATCAAACACAGGTTAGTGAATGCGTGAGTCACTAACCTGGTTCAACAGTACAGCCTGTGCCCAGAGAACGAGGTAGGATCCAGCAGGTGGGCTACAAACAAGATGCTGCGGGTGCTGCCTAGAGAGTCCCAGATGCTGAAGCCCTGGAGAACGGAGAACAAGCAGGAGTCCAAAGCCAGGTCAGGCAAACGGATCAAAACAGCAAAAGGCTGGTTCAGAGGTCTAGTAGTCCAAAGACAGTTCAGGCAAACCTTTCAGACTAGAACAGACAGGTCCAGCAGTCGAGAGGCAGAACAGGTCAGGATCAGGAAATCATAAATGCTAAGGAACGCTAAATATCTTCTCACAATGCCACGAGACAGCGAGAATAATCTGCCCCGATAACTGGATGCAAGCACCCTAAAAAGAGGCAGGAGCGAGTGGATCAGATTAGATACCAGGTTAGTGATTAGAAACCAGGCTGAGTTTGACAGGTGAATGCAGTTAGTAATTAAGCCACACATCTTGGCCCTTTTATTATGGTACTTCTTGATTTCTCATAAGTTAAAATGCCCTGTATTAAATCAAAAATTTAACCATTTCCAAATCTTCAAATCCTTTCATGATACAGAAACTAATTCCAATGTAGTTTATTGCATGTTAAAATATACAACATAAATTAATCCAAAATAACCATAAGCTGTTAAAGTTAATGCTGTTAACACAGGTTAGCTGAAAACTTAAAGAAGTTGGCTTCTGCATGTGGTAAAGCAGATACACCTGGATTCATCAATTAATCCAGTAATGAAAGACTTTAAACAAAAGAGCTGCCTTGAGATGAGGAAGTAGTGGAGTTGTGCAAAGATCCAATTGTTCCGAATGGACCTTTTGCATCCAAAAAGTATCACAGTTTCACAATGCTTATGACTACAAATCTGAAATTCTACACAGTTGTTGTTCACAAGATGAACAAGTGCATGAGTTGGAGAGGTAAACTATAAATTATATGCAAAATATAGATTTTTTTGTGAGAAAAAAATATTATTATGGACAGGATTAAAGTTACAAAGCTCAAGTTGTGTAAAACTTATAGATTTTAAGAACTTATGATTTCAAAGAGACACGTCACAAGCATGTGGGATTTATAATATAATTTTACTGGCAAATGGCATTTGGGTATGCAAATCCCTTGTGGACAAGCCATAAAAAGGTGGGAGCTAAGGATTTAACTATTGTCAATAGTAAGATTTGCAGTAAATCTTTTCTTTATTTCGTATTTTGTTGTTGTTTTTTTTATTTTTTTTATTTTACAACCTGTGCAATACATTGAGATAATTTTAAGTTAAAGCATTCAGTGATTTTGGCACATATTTCACCAATTTGGTTTCTTGTCTTTATGTCTGTCTGTACATTTTTCTTAGTCTGTTAGTTTTTGTATCATTCTAAAGAAATAAAAATACCTCTGTTCATGGAGCAATTAGTTTTCCCTTTCCTTTTTCCGAGTACTCTGTCTAAAGCTGCCTATACTTGCAAGCTTAGAAGGGCTTGGTGCCTTTCTCCTGCAGAGAGCACCTTGTGCATTCAACAGTCAATCAAAGTCAAACAGCAATTCACTCAAACAATCATAGTTAAAGTTAGATTAGAGTTCATGATTTATCCAACATGTTTATGGACTAACAGAGTGAGGCAAAGTTGATTGCACAAGGAGATCATGCAAAGTCCTTAAAAAATAAATAAAAAACTGGAATACAAATCTAGGAACTTTGTGCTACAAAGGAACTGTACTACCAGCTGCTCCACTGTACAGCCTGTTCTCTAATTGTATTTTTTTAATCCAAAAACAGCTAGAAGAATATCATTGATTAGAGAAATAAAAAAAAGGAGCTGTTTTGGTTTTATTACAAGCAATATAGTAAACACAGCAAAAAAAAAAAAAAAAAGGGAAGGAGGTGATGTCACCAGATGAGTTACAAAATTTACTTTTTGCTTTACACATAGCATACCATGTTTGGCATAAAAAAAAGGAGAGACAAAAAATCTGCATGACTGTTCAGTCTCTACCATGGAAAGCATCTACAGTGGAAGCATCATGTTGTAGGGATTCCTGCGGGGGGACAGGGAAGCTGCTCAGAGCTAACAGGAAAATTACTGGAGCTAAATCCAAAAATATGTTAAAAAAGAAAAACAATAAGATAGTTTAAACAGGAGGTCTTCAACAAGGGGTCTGCAGAGGTACCGCATAGGGGTTGCGAAAGTTTTGGTTGATTAGACTTTTTTTTATATTTCCCCCTGCAATTTTTTCCACTAATTGAAATGTCTTTAAAGACACATTAACATGAATTCAACACACTGTAGTAAACAGATAATTGGAGGCAGAAGATGTCTTTCAGTCATCAATGCACCCATTCAGCGACACACAGGAGCTCTTTTAAGCTGGGCACCGTTTCATTCACAACACCTGTCCCATCAACCAGGAATCAGAATCAGAAATACTTTAATAATCTCAGGGTGAAATTACTTTTGTTACATTACTCCATTGGTAATGGAGTGACTACAGGGCCAGTTTCATATAGCACAATTTCACTAAATATATAATTAAGGGTTTTGCCATCAGTTTGGGGGTCCTTTGCCTGTAAAATGTTGAAGACCCCTGGTTTAAACGATTTTAGACTGGGGTGGAGATCTGCTATTAAGCAGGAGGATGACCTTTAACTAATATAGAAAGAGCTGTAATGGAAAAATATTAATCAAAGCATATACTTGTGTTACAAGGACTACTTTGTGTTGGTCAGACAGTTAAAGCCCCAATAAAATCTTCCAGTTTGCAGTTGTAGAATGACTAAGTAGAAACACATTTAGGGGGTAGGAACACTTTCACAAGGCATTCTATATGGAAAGATATTTTCCTTAATCCTGGACCTCCTCTGGGTCCCAAGGCTACATTCTTTAGATGAGTTTCTGCTTCACTCATGATTCAAATGATTTAAATATCACCTCAGCATGTCAACAAGTTCTGCAGATGCTTATTAGTTATCATTAATATACTGTAAATCAGGTGTGTGGAAGAGGGTAAAGACATAAAACATCCAGCACAGTGGGCCCTGAGACCTGGATTGGAAACCGTTAATATTTCAACTGTAATCATCAAATATTTTTTAGCCACTGTAAAAATAGCTGTCGCTTTACTGTTGCATATAAAAGGTGTCTTGCCTTTGTATCCATTATGTAAAATCTGTGTAGAGATCATATTACTGTGAAAAAACAGTGGCTTTTTACATGAAAATCTGACAATGGTCTGCACCAGTCTCAGAACTGATATAGGCTCGATTCACTGTTCAGAGTTTGATTGATTGACTTTATCGATCTCACAGTGGAGGAATGTAATCATTACATCAGCTCAAATAGTCAAAAAGAAGATGAAGAATGTGGCAATGGAAAAAAAAAGTGAATGGGATATATACAGTATATACAGTGCATCCACATATGACAGCCTTTTTTTACAGTAGGATCATTATACAGGGTTATTGCACAGGGTATATATGGTTATTGCACTGGGTGTAAAATATAGAGAAACAGGTTGTTGCACAGGGTATCAAATGGTAAATTGCACATTATACATTGCACAAGTTATTGCCGTTGTAATGTTGCATTGTAGAGTCTGGTTGCAGTTTATAGAGGTTGTTCTATTTAAAATGACTTCATAGAAATTATCTTAAAAATAATTTTTTGATATCTCTTCCACAAATGACAGGATCCCAGTGAGAAAAACACAAAGAATGAGGCACAACAAATTAGGTTTGGTCATAACTTAGAACATTTATTTTCTGTTTATCTCAACACAGGATGTAAAATACATTTATACAATTAAATTATAATATATATGTTTTAAAATAGATATCAAGCATATCACTCTCTTTGTTGACAAAAAACAATACTGCATTTAGATTTAGATATCTTAAAGACATTAAAGAATAAATAAATAAATGTTTCCCTTCATTTTAGTAGATTCACTTAAATTAAATTTGTAAAAACGTGTATTTTTTTAATTGTTCTTTTAAAAAGTTAGAAAAGTGTTTGCTGCGCCTGAAGGTTGAAGGTCTTGTTACTTTGGTAAAGTTGCCAGTCACCAACAGTTGAAGGTTTTGTCAGGATCCACTCCGCTGGAGGCAAACGGCATAAAACCCGGTTTATTAAATCTGATGTTGGAGTTTATCCAGGACTGGTAACGGGACACTCTGGTGTAAACCCCAGGCAGACTTGGTCGAGCGCAACCATCCCCAAAGCTAACAACTCCGGACTGGATCCAGCGAGAGCGTTGCTTACTCACCATCGGACCTCCTGAGTCACCCTGAAATAACAAAAAGAAAAACAGTTAACTCATTTTTAGTCGACTATCATCAAGGAAGTGGATAAAACAAGCAGCTCACCTGACAAGAATCACTGCCTCCTGGAAGAACTCCAGCACAGATCATGTTGTCTGTTACACTTCCTTTTCCAAGCAAACAGTTGCATTGTCTGTTTCCTATAACTGGTACTTTCACCTCCTGAAGGGTTTTAGGATAAGGTAGAGGCACTAGGAAGGATGAAAAAATACCAGAAATTAGTCACACATGCAAACAATACAGAAATCTATGCAAGAAAACATATAATTAACATAGGAATCATATACAGTTATAGTTAAAAAAAAATACAGTTTTTAGGACAAGGAGCCTGTTAACTCACCTCCCTCTGCTACATTTCCCCAGCCGGTGACCCAGCTGGTGGTGCCATTGCTGAACGTGCTGCCTCTCTCTGCCAAGCACACTGGTCTGATGTAGTCTGTAAACTTCACTGATGAGGAGAGTCTGAGCAGCGCAATGTCATTATCAAAGGTTATAGAATTAAATCTGGGGTGTACAACGATTTTTCCGATCTTTCTGGAAACTTCATTTTTTGTGTTTCCATCCGTCAGCTTCTGTCGCCCAAGAAAAACCTCCCATATGAATGGTTCTGTTCTGTAGTAGAAAAAGGCAAAAAGCATTTATTTTATTACTGAAAATTAAGCTTTCAACCGTATTTGTACAGAATCCATCTTTATTTACCCCATTGAGAAAATGTTCAAATGTAATCAAATCTACAGTATACATCTATGCATAATCTCATGTGAAATAGTCCATTAATCTAAGTTGCTCTGAGAAAAATAATTTCAACACCTTCAGAATAATAAACACTGTTGTATTTTCAGGCACTTACCCAGTGACGCAGTGAGCGGCAGTCAGTACCCACTTTTTGCTGATGAGGGACCCCCCACACCAGTGTGTGCCTGAGCGCTGCAGATCAACCTGCCAAGGCCAACTTTTGGGTGAAGCATCTTCACCTCCAACTATTTTGTGGTTTTGACGGGCGATGCCGCACACTGAAGGGGGAAATCATTTGAAACAAGATCAGGATGCAAACATTCAACAAATTTTATTTAATGAATTATTGGATTGATTTAGATCTTTACCAACCATGAGGCTGAGCACCAGCATCTGGAAAGAGACAAAACAGTTTATTTATTTTTTCTAATAGCTGCAGATCTCACTTTTTTTTTTTCAAAATATACACCTCAGTTTAAAACTGATTAAATAACATTAGTCTAGAACAAGATTTAAAATGAATTAACTTCTGATTTAACTTCTTAACAATAAACGCTAGATTATTTTTCTTAATATAATATTTTATTACGTAAGCAAAGCCTTTTCAACTTTCTATGCTTCGATATGCTACAGTTTACTTTTTAAACTATTTTAATATCCTGGAAACTATGGAGAACATAGAGAGCCACTGAAAAATACAACCAACCATTTCAGTCTTAACATTTAAATCATGCAATTTGAAATCCAGTTTAAAAAGCTTTTTCTAATGGCACATTTTAATTTAATTATTAAAAAAGGAATTGTAAATTATATAAATTATTTAATCCATTATTGAATAACAGAATTTGAATAATGTATTTTCAAATCCTAATTCTAATTGGAGATTTAAAAAACAAAAAATATAAATTTGATTACAAATTCCTTTTAGAAATACATGTTTAAAAATTTTATTCCTTATTCCATTGTCTTTTTCAACTTGAATTTTGAAATCCTTTTTTAAATAGAGTTTTGCTTTACCACTACCCTTAACCTTCTGGTCCCAGAGCACAGGAAACCAGTTTAACCAATCAGCTGCTCCTCAGATGTAATAAGCTCCATCATTGGTCAGTGTGGCAATCTAACCAATGATAGAGTAGAACTGCTTTCCAATGTTCTCTGGGACCAGAAGGGTCTCTGTAAAGGTGAATGACTGGTATAGCAAAAAGAAAACGCAATTTTAAGAAGGATTTGAAAATGCAGTGTTAAAAAATAACATGGTGGAATAATGAATAACCTTTTTAGAAATGTGATTAGGAAATGTATTTTTAATCAGATTTACGACTTTGTTTTATAAATTTCCATTTAGAATTTGTATTTAAAATAAATTTTTAATTCCCAGTATTTAATAATAGATTAATAAATACAATTTACAATTTTTCTTCAATAAGTCAATTTAAAAGGTGCAAATAGAAAACGCTTTTTAGTTGATTCGACATTACCGACCCTCCAGGTCCTCCTCAGAAAAACATGTGGATAAATGCAGATTTGAATTTTTTTACTTTCTTCTTAACGTTTATATCTTTCATTCCTGTCAGATAATGAATGACTTACCTGCAAGGAAAAGCGACACAAGGGCCAGAATATACAATGGTTTGTCCAAAGCCATTTTGTATGTGACTGCAAGATCTCTCTCTGTGAAGCTATTTAAATAGTGACCCATCAGTCAGCTCTTCCTGTGTGCTTCACCTAAAAAACCCAAAGATGGGCTACTGAGGTGTTTCCTCTTTCCAAGAATTCAAATCACTACTATTGCTTTCTAAAAATAACTACCATGATTCCACAGAAAGATGACTAAGAATAATTGTGTATTACTAACTTCAAAAACAAACGTTGGCCACTCCACACGGTCTCCCTGTCCTTCAGCCTGAATTAATCTATGCTGAAAAGGAGATCCTCAGGAGGAAAATAAGTTTTCAGCCAATATTTTCTGATGTTTATGTTTGAATGTTGCTTTATTTGAACAAAGAAGAAAGCACAAACAGCAATTACAATAAAGCACTTAGTAAAATAAATTTCGCCGGTTTATTTTTAGTGATTGAATTTTAATAAATTATTAGTTTTTGCTAGATTTGAGGGACGACGTTTTAATACTTCCTTTAAGGTACAAGAGTTAGATGCAATGAGATGCTTTAGATGATTTGGGGAAATCCAGATCATGATTTAATGACTTTATAGGAACAATAATAGGGAAGTCCAGTCAACATGCCATTGAAGAATATGAAGGAGGAATCTGTGTTCTAGTTATGCAAGTGTTTTATTTGCTTTAGCTAATTGACCCAAGGATAAAAGCAATTAAGATCCTCTAAAGATTCTGGTTTAAATTGCTCACCATACACAGACGAATCAGATTGATACCAAATATCGGCTAAAAAGCCACTCAAAAACATTATTTCAAAAGCAACATTAAAAACAAATGACAGTTTTCAAATCTATTGAGGGACAAAGATAAATAATTTACTTTAGGAAATATCTCCTATGGTCAGATGAAGCTAATATTGAAGTACGTTCACAAAAATAACCATTAGGAGGATTAAAAGGAGGCTGGAGGGACTGAGGCACCTCACAAATGGTTTGATGAAAAATTAAAATTATATGGAAATTTTGAAGCAACATCTTAAGATATCAGCTAAAAAGCTAAAGAGTAAATTCAAATGGATTACAAATTCAAATTTCCTTTCATTTGAAAGCCAAATTAGTTACAAATGGGTCTATCTCTGTTCTTTTATAGATTCATTTAGACAAACAATTAAAATTGGTAGATAAATGGAAGATAATCCATTTTGTGTGACCAACCGGGTAAATGTCTCATAGTAACCTGCTTTGCTGCAAAATAGGGATATATATGCAGAGAATAGTTTCTGATAAAACCACAGAATGATGTAGTCAAGACAAACACGTTGAGTGTTTAATTATTGAGAAATTACTTATAGACAGAGGTGTCATGTAACGAAGTACAAATACTTCATTACTGTACTTAAGTACACTTTTTAGGTACCTATACTTTACTCCATTACTTATTTTTCTTCCTACTTCTGACTTCTACTCATTACATTTTTACACAAGTACCTGTACTTTTTATCCCTTACATTTTTAAAACAAACGTTACTCGTTACTCTTGGCTTCGGTTTAATGTTTATAAATATTTATTTCCCATCATGTGCTCCATCCAATGCAGATCATTGGCATCATCCACATCTAGTGAAAACGAATGTAATTGGATTAGAGTCAAAAAATTGAGCTTTCATACAGTGGCATCTGGCTGTTTTTTTTAAAGGTTTCTTCATACTTTTATACTTTGAGTAGTTTTTGGAGCACATACCTTTTCACTTTTACTTGAGTAAAGAGGTCAAGTTGATACTTCAACTTTTGCCAGAGTGTTTTTAAACTGCAGTATCTATACTTCTACTTAAGTGTACTTTTGACACCACTGCTTATACAGACTATATTTATAATGTGACATACAGTGCAGCTTTCTTATATGGCTTCTGCCCAGCGGCAGCAGAAAGACCATCAAAATAATGAAAAACTGTCTTTCAGAGGGTTTTAGGAAGCTTATTTGAAAGTCCAGTCAATAGAATGTGAAAAACCTGCTGTAATTGTATCATTTGAGTAAAACCTTAAATCTTCTCATTGTTTCCTGTATATTTTTGACCATTGGCTTTCCAGGTCGGATCACAAGATTTCAAAATGCTTTGTGAAGGGTGATGATCACAACAAAATGGCAGAAATGAAAAGTCTAATTTTGCCACACCCCAAACGGAGGAGGAATGGCGGTCTAGTGGTAAGGGCATAGAGCTTGGAATCCTTAGGTTCTGAGTTCGAGCCCCACTGCCAGTCTGGCTCTCTGAGCAACACCTTATCTCCACACTCCTTCCTGGGTGCCACACAATGGCAGCCCACTATTCCCCAAGGGGATGGGTTAAATGCAGAGGTAAATTTCTCCAATGTGAGATCAATTATTTATTAATGGAAGCTATTTTATTTGGCTGAGTAAAATAATGACCAGTTATTTTGTTCTCTCTTGTCCATTAAAATAAAATAACAAAAAGCCTAACTAAAGTGGAAAAAACATATATGTCAATATTAAATAAAAAATATGATTAACAATACATGTTATATAACTTACATTCATCTAGAGTAATGCAGTAATGGCTGAGCAATGCAAAGGTTTTTTGATAAAATTCCTATAAAAGTCTCCTTTAAGACTCTATTATAAAAAAAAAAAAAAAAAACATGCAAACAGCCCCTATAAATGGTCACAACTGTGTGACATGATAGAAAAAACTGTCTGAAAGCTTAGCCTGACCACCTGTTGCCCAATTTTATTGAACACGTCACCTTTCAGAGAACTGGGCCGTTCCAGTCCTGGAAACTAAAAGAGCTTCTTTACCTTAAGAGGAGAAGCAGATGAGGCAGAAGTTTCTCGTATCTTTCTTTATCGTTACACATTCTAAATTTAAACATGCGATCAATATAAGTCATAGTTTTTCATAAAGAAACTACCTAAACCTATTGTCTCATGATGGAAGTTACTTGGAGGAAGAGAATTGCAGAAATAAAGAAGTAGAGGACTTTAAACTCCAAATATGTCATGAAGTATGTGGGAATTATTCATCTTTTCTTGTACGCAAATATTTTAGATTTACCACATACCTTTTAAGGTTTTACTTCTGCATTTTCTATTTAGTAAACTATTATTGAATAAATAAATACCAGCTTTGTGGGCCAGTCTACTGTTTAAGAATAGTTTATTATGTCAGATTTTATCAGAGCCTGTCTATAAGGAGGATTTTGCTCATTTACTAACTTTAATGTCAGACCAAGATAACCTATTAGAAACATAAAGTGATTCTAAATTATTGCATTTGTTAATAGAAAACCCTATATTAATTATGATTAACTGTGTCAAATCTTAAATTAGCTGTAATAAATACTTTTTCGGTTTATATCCAAACCTTATTAGACCTGGAAATTCAAGAAATCACACAGGCAGAAGCTGTCTAACATTAAGATGTCAAAAAGGTATGACAAGGCCTTACAACATGACCCATTAGAAAGATAATAACAATGTATGAGCAATAAAGTTACTGGCATTAATAATTCTGGAAGGGTTGACTATGTTGCCTTTTGGTGATTTTAAATTATGTTGCAGTTTTGCTCCTCTTCCTGGTATCACTAAAATTTTCCACAATGACAAGCTTCAGATGACAAACGCAGACTCATGTATTACTTAAAAATATTTTAGTATACAGAGGAGTTTCAGGAGTCCTGCCTTCATAACAAGTCAAAACAATCACTTCCTAAATGTGTTTGAGTGCTGGCATAAGGCGTTTGTGCTCATATCATACAAATTTTTTTAAACTATGCATAACATATATCATTGCCAGAAATATATATTTTGGTCCCATCTGTTTGTATTAAAGTGTTTCAGGAGTTATTTGGTTAATTTGGCACCTTGCAAACCTAATTCTTCAAGGTTTTGTCTTGTTGTTGATAAAAAAAAAAGGGTTGTTTTAGGTTTTACTGTCATGAAAAGCCTCCGTGGTGGTTTAGCTGTTGGCACTATTAGCTTGCAGCAAGTTGGCCTTGCATTTGAATACACATTTCGGGTATTTTTGCATGGTGTTTACAGGTTCTGTATGTACTGATTATCTGCAGATATACTGACTTAACTTGTGATTGCTGATGATAGTTTAAAATGTCTAAAATTACAAAAATACTGATGTTAATCCAAGGAATTTTAAGAGCCTTTTTAAAGCAACATTTTAATTTGGATCTGCAACTATTTTACTTTGAATCTGTAGCTAAGTTTGTTCAGATTGGAAATCACGATAAGACAGGGACTTAACTATGTTCTGATGTAAGATTAGAAATGTGTCTAGCTGTAATATCATGTCAGTCTTTATGTGTTTTTTTTAATCAATACTGAAAATTGAACATGTATATCCAACATTTGCATGAGCACTTGCTGTTCAGGATTACAGAGAAAAAGATAACTAAATATCCCCAAATGTTATTTTTTATATTTTTTTTTATGACAAGAGTAGTAAGGTTTTTGTTAAAAGCTAATTCATAAATTGCTGCTGATAACAAAAATTATAACAATCCAACATATATGTAAAGGGGACTACAGTGTATATTACTCTACCAACTAAAAAGAAAACATGTTTGCATTTTGCCTATTTCCAGTTTTAATTCAGTAAGTTGTGTTTAATGTTTAGTATAATTACCACTTTGGGTAAAACTATGTCCATTTAGAAAATCTATTTCTGGTCCCAGTATTAATATAAATGACAACTGATAAGGCACAAAATAAACATTATACGTAAACCCTGTTTCAACATCATTGAACCATAAATTAGTCTCTGTCTCCATCTGTTGGTTAAACTGAGTAATTACAGCATTGATGGTTAAAGTTATGGTTTGTAGTAAATCAGATAAGACCATAAAATGTATTTAAAATATTTAAAAGTGTGTCACAAAATAGGTAATGGTGTATAAACAAGTATTGCTTTTCCAGTTCATTATCAAAATATCAGATTTCTTAGAACTCCAATAATTTCTTTGAAAATGGTTAAAAAAACAAACAGACAAAAAACAGTGGAC